ATAAAACTAAGATCTCTTTCTTTTCAACCTGAGGCCTTTCTGAAATCACTTAACTTCTTTGTGTTTCTGTTCAAGATGAGGATCTTAAGGTCTGCTCATTTTATCCTTATAATATAAACACAGATTTTTCATGAATAATTATTTCTGTTATTATCTACCAGTCTAGGTCTGACTGGATCTTAGCAGCCTTCGTGAGTACTTTACACTTACGTCTAAATTGGACTTTTAAAAAAATTTTTTGAAATGGACTTTTTTGATGATATACATAAAAACTCGAAAGAAAGGAGAGGTACAGCAATCAACGGCTTGCCATACTTTTTGCCATTAGTTCATTGTATTTCTTCTTGGTTACTTTGCTGCTTTTGAACACTAGATGGGACTAAGAGATGACTTGAGATGATAATAGTAGCAGAAAGGATTTCACAGGCTTCCAACTTCTGAATGAAGTGTTTGCTTATTGAGAGAATGTAAGCAAACTAGATAAAAACAGGGCTATTCTTCTCTCCTGAGATGGCTTTCTTGTTTATTTTAAATGATGACTTTAATCAGTATTTAGATAATATTAAAACCTTATGTAAGATTCAAGGAGTATAGGAATGAGTGGCCAAAATATGCCACAGTATTTTCCTTGATTGCAATTTATAGAGAAATCCGATAAAATCACAAGAGTTAGTAATGTCTAATGCTCTTACTTAAATCACCATGAGCCTGGCAGAAAATTATAAAATGTACTTGATAGTTGTATTAGAGTGAGAAGAAAAAAGAAACAAATGTTATGTGTTTGGTTTTTTTTTCATTTTTGAGTCCTGTATGAATTAACAGCTTTCTCTAAAATAAAATAAAAATTTCCCTAAAATACAGGCAGTGCGTCATTGCTAATAATCCATAACCAAATGATTGTTTAAGAAAAGATTAGCGTAGCTGGAAATAGTGCTCCACAGCTTTGTTTATACAATTTATAACAGAAAGCAGCTCAAAGAATCGTGTATTAAAGTATTTTTTATGCAAATATATATTGTAAGAAATGTGACAGTTGCTTTATGAACTTGGCCTTGACCTAGCAGGGTCTGTTTTCCTTTCACATTTCTAAAATAACAATGTACACCTACACGTGTAACCCTAATGTATAGATTAAGAAAGATAATAGTGCGAGGGTGTGCAATAGGAGATAAGTGAAGAAAGGAAAGAAACCTTTGACTATAAATTTAAAGGTATTTTCAACTGCAATAATGTTGAGAAAAATCACCAATAAGTTGGGGTCACATCAACTCACCTATGTTATTGTTCAGTGCTGCTCACTTGGAAAGGTTGACCTGGAAAGTGCTGACCATGTGTTAGTCTCTATTCAGAACGTTTCTTAGAAAGTTCTTTGTTTTTTATGACTCATCAGACTTTTTTATCCACAGAAACTCCAACCAGTGTTCCTTCTTAGCTTCCTACCTTCTAGTTTCCCGTCTAGAGGGCTATGTCGAGATTACCAGGGAAACAGCAGATCTCGTTGATAGAGCGAGATGGACCCCTTGGCATCCTTTAGACCAACATTTCCCACATGTGCTCTGTAGAACTCTCATGTTACACATGGTGTTAATAGGTTGCCCACCAAAGCAGTATTTCGTAGTTAAGTATCTTTAGGGAATGCTGGGTTCAACAATTTGAAACTGGGTAATTTATAGTGTAATTTCACAGTCTTTAACACGCTAATAATGTATTTTGTAAATCTCTAAGAAGGCGATACAGTAATTTTCCTGAAACATTTTGACCATGGTGCTGTTTTTTTTTTTTTTTTTAACTTCATTCTATCTATTATCTTTGAGAACACAGATGGGAAATTTATTCTACCAACTTTTTTTTAAAGATTTTAATTGTGATATACCTCTAGATTCCTATGTGCAATGACGGGCGTGTAACGATGTTTTGTTCAATGACTGCATATGCAGCAGTTGTCCCATAAGATTTGTACCATATCCCTGAATATTCGTACCATACAGCCTATGTGTAGTAGGCTATAAGATCTAGGTTTGTGTAAGCACTCTGTGATGTGCACATGACGATGAAATCTCCTAATGACACATTTCTCAGAACGTGTCCCCATCATTACGTGACACATGAATGTATTTTGTAATCTTATAACAACTACTCCTTTGTAACTGTGGCCTCCACTTCTTTATATTGTGTTTGCTGGCAAAATCCTAACCCTGATTGGATCAGACTTTCTGCCTACTGTATGTCTATGCCTGAGTGGTTGAATACAGCTGGAGAAAGACACAGCATGTGGACTGGTCTGACTTCTCATTCCTGGCTGCTAACCTCAAGTGGGCCCTTAGCCCTGCCCCGTCATCCTGCTCCAGGGCCTTGTCTGTTCTTCCAGACCAGTAAATTTCACTCCCTTTTTTTCCCCTCAAATTTCTCGCACCCCTTTCCCATTCTCCCTCTCAGCGGATAACCTTCCTATTTCATTGAGAAAAAAGACAGTGTCAGAGGAGACATCCTCATGCTCTCACCATTTAATCTACCCCTCTTCTTGATCTCTGCCCACAGACCGAACCTTCTCTGTAATTTTGGAAGGAGACCCTTGCTCCTGCGTAAGGGAGCCCTGTTCTCACATGGGATTCCGTTCCCTGTCCCCGACTCGGTCCTCCTCTCTTTTGCATCAGTACCTCATCCCTCTCTGTTGAATTATTCCTACCAGTACCCAAGTGGGAGAAGGGGTTTTCTTCTTTTGATACCTGTTGCAGCCCTAGCACCTAGAACAGTGCCATCATGGGAGTTGCTCAGCATATTTCTGGAATAAATGAAGAAATATTTCCGATCTTTTAAAAAAACATTTTATTTTGAAGTTATTCTAAACTTAAAGAAAATTTGTAAAATAGTACAGAGAATTTCCATAAATGCCTCACCTAGTTTCCCGTTTTCAAACTTAAAAAAACAAAGACAAAAAAAACTTCTCTTTTGCTATCTCATTTTTCTCCTTCCTTTCAAAACAGAACTCCTTAAACATACTTTCTGCACTAACTATCTCCATCACGTCTCCTTCCATCTTCTCTTAAAACCACTGTGTTCAGGCTTTTGCCCTTTCCCATCCCTAGATCCACCGAAACAGCTCTTGTCAAGGATGCTAACGACCTTGACTTTGGTCAATCCAGTCATCAGTTCTTGTTTCTTCTCCTCTTTGATCTAGCAGCAGCATTTGACCTACTTGGTTTCTTTCTTCTTACTTTCCCTCTCTTACTCCATAGTCATCCCTTCTTGGGCTTTTTTGCCCCTACCTCTTCTGTTCTCTCTCTGTACTCCTTCTCTGGGTGCTCTTATCTCTGCTCATGCCTTTTAATACCATCCCAATCGACTCCCAGATTTGTGCTTTTACCCTTGATCTTGCCCTTCAACTCCAGATTTTTATGCTCGTTTTCTACTTGACCTGTTTACTTGGTTGTCAAACATATGTCAGTAACAGAACTCTTCATTCGCCATTTGGAATGCCGAAGACTGTGCTCGCATTCTTTCTATCTCAGAGAATGGCCACTGCATTCTTCTAGTTGTCCGTGCCCAGAACCTTGGAATGTCCTAGACTTCTTCACTTCATTCACTTTCTGTATCAATACTACTGGTATATCCTGTTGATTCTTCCTCTAAAATATAGACCTAAAAATATGATTAGTTCTTACCTCACCCCAGCACTCTGGTTCAGGCCACCATCATCACCTCTTGCAGAAGCCTTCGAATGGCATCTTCTCTTGTTATTAACTTGGTTTTTTTTGTCTGCAAAGCAGTCAGAATACTTAACTTTAAAACATAGATTATGCCACTCCTCTGCCTAGAACCCTCCACATGGCTTTCTAGTAGACATCATTTTACTAGATTGAGTACAATCTCAAGACTTTCCTATGGTCTAAAGGCCCTTCCTGATATGGTTTCCCATTGTCTCTTTCCTTCAGTCTATTCCTGACACAGTCCTTCCAGATTCCCGTCCCACGGCCTGTGTCCTTGCTGTCCCCTTGGTGTCGAATGGCTTTCCTTTATATATAATTTGAGTGACTCAGTTCTCTCTTTCTTCACTTCCTTCAGGTGTCACCTTATTTGAGAGGCCATCTTGAATGTGCAATAAAAGATCGCCTTTCCTCCTCCACTTCTTTATTCACAGGGCGTTGTGCCACCAGAGTATTTATTTCTTTGTTAATCTGTTTCTTCTCTCTTCCCATGACACTGTCAGCTCCACAAAATCAGGAACTTTGTATCTGCTTTATTTGTTACAGTATCCTCAGGGCCTCTCCCGGTACCTGGCACAACACAGCACTCAGTATTCGAATGAATGAGTGAGCAAATGCATGAGTGAAACACGCTGCATGTTGAGATGAGGAAAGCATAGTATACATTTGGTTAGGAGCAAAGAATCAGATGTCCCAGAGAGGCATACTGATAAGGGGGCTCTGGAAAAATGTATCTTGACTGAAGTAAAGATGACAGAGAGGAGAAGAAAAGAGGTGAGGAGAAGACGGGAATGCCCCATCCTAATACCTGGTCTCTGCATTCTCCTGGGTGGGAGAAATAGCACGTTTGGGTTTTGAGGGTGGTCGAGCTTTCTGCCTTTGCACATTCACCCTTCAAGATGCTGAAACAATTTGAGCTTGCCTGTGTATGCATGATTATTTATGTACACATGTTTGTTTTTCCACATGATTTTTATGAATGGAAATTCTGAATCTTACTGACATTACCTTTGAATTTTTGCTATATTTGAAGTTACAGAATATAACAAAATTTGTGGCAGAATGAGAACTATGCCTGGTGTCAAATCTGCATGATATTTATCTAATAAAGGTCTGCTTGGTGTTAATATATTGAAAGAGTGAAAGATCCTTTGGTTTAGCAAAACTTTTTCAAATTAGGTAGATTGTAATAAGTAGAACTCTGCGTAAGTTGTTCATGATGTCTAACATTTTTACTTCTACTACTATTGAGAATTTATCCTGATAATGACAGTTTTTAATTTGTATGACTTACAGGTGCGAAGCCTCTAGTCCACACATCCATCCAGTTGGTTGGTGTAAAGAACATCGAAGAACCCTTATCACTCCTCCAGGTTTGTGCTTATTATGCATCTAATGTTATTCATGTTCATCAGGAGTCGGCACGCTTGTTCTGTAAAGGGCAAGATAGGAAATATCTTTGACTTTGTGGGCCGTTTGCTCTCTTTTAGAACTACTCAATTCAGTTGGAGCACAAAAGCAGCTGTAGGCTGACCTTGTCTAGGTGTTGACGAATAGAGAAATTGGACATAAGAGACATCTCTTGTGGGTGGAATCTTGACCCACTTGTCAGGGTCAATTCTGGCCAAAGCACGGTGTTCACATTGAAGGGGAATCTTGATGCTTTCGATCTTTTTTGACCTAGATCAGGACTTGCACATTTACTTTCCGCTTTTCTGTTGTGATTCCTGGTCCCCAGATGGGTTGTGCAGTGTTGTGCTGGCAGTACCTCTCTGTTCTCTGAAGTTTTCGGGTCCTTTGGCTGTCTGTCTCTGGCCGGAGAGCCTTCATTCTCAGTTATTCGCTCTCTCTGTGACAGGAACAGTATGACTGCTGGTGAACGGTCTCCTTGTTTCATGTGATTTTGAGTTCATTTTCATGTGCTAAAGAGCAGATTGTGTGGCTTCAGCATAATCAAGACAGTGAGTTTCTGAGCATCTCACTGTTTAAGGTGCCATGGCTGCTGCTGATGTGAAAAGACAGGGTCGTTGGCTAACAGCATCACTGTACGCAGGTGGTTCTGTGGAGACTTCTGTGAGTGATGGAGACCGCCCTCACCACAGGGAAAGGATGCCGCCTTGGTTCACTGGGAGCTGCTGTGTGGATGCTGCCCGCAGCATGTAAACAGCAAACACTCAGCTTGGAGCTCCACATACTTGTCTCATTCCATTCTAACAGCTGGTTTCATTTTTAGGCTTGTCCCCAGTTCCTTGGTACCATGTCTCAGTTAGTGTCTGATCATTTACTCCCCCAGGGGACCAACCATTCCTGTGATGGGCAAGGCGAGTCTTCTCTGCTTTTTGAGTTTATTCATATGTTAAGGGGCAGAAGCCCCTGTTCTTCACTGATTACAGAGCTGTGTTGAAGATGAAAGGACATTTACATAAACCATAAAGTGTTAAAGTAAGGTATTAATGGTTTCATGGCCCAGATGGGGTATTACCTGGAAGATTTCTCGTGTTCAGCCCTCCTGAGTCCTGTGGCTTATGTAATATTAAAAGCCAGTAAATAGAGATTGACACTATCACCATCTAAATTGCTGTGAGGATTACTTTAGATTTTCCAATTCGATATTGATCTTTTTTTTTTCCTTACCACTTTTTTGGTCATAATCAGGGATCTGGTAAATGAACAGAGAACCAGTGAACGACAGGTTCCTCGTTGTGTGATCACAGCCCTGGGTTAGCTACCCTGTGAAGGGGTGCTGTAAGGCTTCATTGCTAACTTCTTACATGAGGCAAGTAACCAGCACATCTGTCTCCTTTTGTGGGCTTTTATAGTTCAGTAGAACAGAAAATACATAGCTTTTTGACAAATTAATAAAATACAAAATTGCATGTCAAAAAGTACCAAACACACAACAACGTGAATATATTTAATGTATATTTAATTGGGTAAAATGGTAAATTTTATGGTGTATATATTTTGCCGTAAAAACAGGTTGAAAAGCAAACCTGCCAAATAATGAGACTGGTTTGCAGTCTCTGCTGAGGTGACTCTGCTCTTTGGCTCCATGGCAAAAAAAGATGCTCTTTCTCTGGTTCCTTTTGGTGAAGGGCGTCTTCCTGGTGATCTCTGATCTCCTTCTGAAGAGAAGGAATCCTCATCCGTGGTCCCTCTGGGCAGCTGCTCTTCCGACACCCCTGCCACTTGATAGCTCAGTCCCTTGAGCAGCCCTGCTGGCCACCCCGTGTTCGTGTTCTCTCTCAACATGTAGCATAGCTACTGTTCTTTTTCTGAAATTAACATCTTTATGCCTTTAAAATGATTTTTACTTTGAATTATCCAAATTATACATTAATACATGCTTGCTTTTAAAAGTTGGAAAATAGAGATAAGCACGTTTATCTCTCTTAGTAGTTTAATAGTTATCATTGTATCTTTCCAGAAAATCATTTTCACCTCTAGGTATACACACGCATGCATGTGTGCATGCCCAGTTTTAATATACTTAAATTGTGCAAGATGTGGTCTTTAAAAATATGTTATAAAATGTTTATTTACACAGAAATATGTTTGTGTATTTACTTTTTAAAACTTTTGTTTTGAAACAATTACAAATGTATAGAAAAGTTGTAAGAACCATACAGAATTCTTCTATACCCTTGACCCAGAGGCCTATTCAAGTTTGTTAATTGTACCAATGATGTCATTTATAGCAAGAAGATGAGGCATTGCGCTCAGTTGTCCAATCTCTCTAGTCTCCTTCAAGTAGGTTCTCCTTGACTTTCATGGCCTCAGTATGTTTGAGGATTACAGATTAGTCGTTGTCTAGGATGTTATTACTTAATTTGGGTATGCTTGGTGTTTCCTTGTGATTAGACTCTGTATGCAATTTTGGCAGGAATATCATGGAAACAATGCTGTCTTCTCATTGCATCCTCTCAGGTGGCACATGATATCAATTTGTCTCATTACTGATCTTTTACCGTTAATTGATCAAGATGGTGCTTGCCAGGTTGCTCCACTAATGTAATATGAATTATTCTGACAGTGCTAAATGATAATTTTTCTTATTCCATCATTCCTGGTACATAGTTAGTTCACATTCTTCTGCAAAGAATAGCTTTCTCATCTTCCCATTTATTTGTTCAATTAATTTATTTCCATCAGCGTGGGCCCCTAGGTTACTATTTTCATCAATGAGTTATAATGCCTTAGTAGCATTATTTATTTTCAAGTCCAGATTTTCTCAGATTTGGCCAGTGGGAGCCCCTTTAAGCTGGTTACTGTATCCTTGTGACATGTTCTTATCATTTTTTGAGAACTTCTTGCTTTGGGACCCTGATCCAGCCCTGAAGTCAGCAGTTTCTCACAGTCTCCATGGTTCTCTTTAGTACAGAATGATACTTAGAAACTAAGATCTGGACACTAGATGTGCTCATTGCTACTGGAGTGTTGCTGCTTCCGGCCTCTCCGTGGACATAGTTAGGAAATATATTTATGTAAAGATATAAAAAAATGTATATTTATATTTATTTCTCTGTTTCTTTAGATATATTGGAAATAATGAATTCGTACCACTAGCTCCAATTCGTATCCATTACTACTAAGTTCATTCTAGTTTTCCGTTTTCCATTTTTATACCTCTCTTTTCAGACAGTGAGAAACCTGCAATATATTTCCCCTACCTGCAATATATTTACTTATTTTTTCAGTCCCCTTTATGTAGCCAATTTCCCACCCTCCTGGGCCACCATTAATTCCTGCTCCTGCCTCCCTGATGGGTTTTGGACTCTGGAGGAAACAAAGGGGGTGGGAGGAAGGATAGTTATTTTTACATATTCTGTTAATACTGTTTCATGCTTTGATTTTGCTTGTTTGTTTGACTTCGCAATGCGGTGGTGTATCTGGAATATTTCACATGTTAGTATAAATCTGCCTCCTTTTTAATAAATGCTTTATATTTCATATGTACTATATATTTTTTGCACATTTCTATATTGATCATTTAACTTGTTTTCATATTTTCACGTTAAACAATGGTACACTATTGTCTTTGTACACATATGAGATTTTAATGGGTTAGTAGAAGTAAAATTGCATAATTAAAGGGTATTCATGTGTGTGTATGTCTTGTATGTAAGATTGTCCTTACCTGAGAATATAAATTATATGTAGACATATATACTAGATTATCTTTTAAAAGATAATAGAGAAATCGTGATCAAGATGAAAGCAATTTAATTATTACAAATAGTTCTGAATGTGTAACTAGGTGCAAGTTGTTATATGAAATATGAACATAATTTCCTAGATTATAATGATAACAATATCTCATAATTTTGACAGGTCAGTTTGTGGTTGTTCTCCCTATCATTTTGGTTAAACCTGATAGGATGTACTTTTTTTTCATTCTTAGGTTATCCAAATGTGAAACATTTTTCTTGGGATAAATACTTGGAAGAAACCAGTTCTTTACCTGCTCCTGCGAGAGCTTTCAAAGTGGTGAGTTAATATATTTTACACTCTTTAATTTGTGTTGATGACACTGTTCATTCATTGAAATTTAAGAGCAGAAAGAGATAGTACTGGTGACCCAGAATAGGAATGGGAGGGAAACAGAAGATTGAAGAAGATATTTTTGAATTTTTACAAATTAAAAAAATTTCTTTTTAAGACATGCTTTTTGTGTGTGAGGAAGATTGGCCTTGTGCTAACATCTGTTGCCAGTCTTCCTCTCTTTTTTCTCCCTAGAGCCCTGGTAGATAGTTGTATATCTTAGTTGTAAGTCATTCTAGTTCCGCTGTGTGGGACGCCGCCACAGCATGGCTTAATGAATGACATGTAGGTCCACGCCCAGGATCCGAATTGGTGAATCCCAGGCCGCCAAAGCAGAGTGCGAGAACTTAGCCACTTGGCAACAGGGCCAGCCCTGAATTTTTACGATTTTGAAAGTTGAAATTGTTACTGTGGTTTTTGTTGTTGGTATCTAAAAAATACTTCCATTTTGGACTCGAAAGTCTCCTTGGAAATAAATCTGCTGAATTGGTATCAAGTGAGTTGTTGTGTTCTTACAGCAAACTTATGTTTTTCCAGCTAGATATTCTGAAAAACCAAAATAAGACAGGACATTGTTTTCTAAAAAAAATTGTATTTGATAATTCCTTTGATTTGTTTATGGTGAGCAGGGATGCTGTTTTTATTTTATTGCTATAAGTCAACATGGTTAATTACCAAAATCCAAGGTCATCTGTTATGGTATCTTCCTAACCCCAAGGGTCATTGTTTCTTGCATGTAACTTATTAAGATTCAAAGTAAACCTCATTTCTGTGCAAGGAAAGAATAAGAAATGAAATGCATTTTTAAATTTTTTCATCTCTAAAGCTTGCTTTGTAATTTATATTTTCCCATAAGTTTAAAGGGAAAGAAAGATATATTAAATATTTTTTTAAAAATCTTTTAATGTGGCATAATTAGTCTGTCATAAACGTTTTTCTTTAAATGATCCTTTTGTGTATAAATTGCCAGAATTTTTAATGAAAGAATTAGTGAGTAGATATGTGCCCAAATATAGAAGAAAAGAACATCAAAAACTTTTGAGAGAAAAAGTATATTACACGAAGAGAAGCCAGATGAAAGGATGTATATGATTCCATCTGATAGTAAATTCAGGATTTAAAAATAAATAATGTTTAGGGTTATACGATATTTATGAATTTTTGTGTGACTCTAACTTTCATTTAGGCTAGTCCAAGAAGAGCTGTGTTACACTTTGCTTTGAACTGGATAAAATTACACAGAGACCCATCTGCACACCTAGTGTCACATTGATATCAGAGAGAAGACTGAGATTGTTCTAGTTTGGCCTCTGGTGCCTTGCATTCATTGTTTTGTACCTGTTACATAAATTTCACCCTTAATATTCAGAGCAACAATTCTATTACACCCATTTTACAGAAGAGGGATGTAAAGTTGAGAAAATGTGAGAAATTTGCCTAACATACCAAACAGCCCCCTGCTGTCTACTGCCTGTGACTTTTTCGGAGGTTTATGGGTTTCTGCTGGGTTCTGAGGTGTGGGGGGAGAGGGTCCTCCTTTCTCTTTCCTTCTCACAGAGCCAGTCCATCTTGCATGTTTTGATTGCTAATTTTCTTTTATAAAAGACGTCTGCTTTTTGATGTCATTTATCACTTCTGATCTCTGTGTCTCGTCTGCCACTTCAATGTTGTTCTCCTCTCTCTTTAAAAATAATTTTCACGCTTGTTGATTTTTGCCAAGACACCTCCTTCTAACTAATGAGAAAAACGTCTTGCCTTCCCTATGGCTAATCCAATAACGAGGATATTTTGAATTTCATTGTAAGGTCTGTTGCGTTCTGTTTGCTCCTACGGCAGGTGCTCAGGCTGTTTCTCTTGCCTGTGGCTTGGCCATGGGACTTGGGATTGTGGTTTTTGATAAGGAGGGTGAGGTCTAAAGCCGCTCCTGGAGGTTGAGAGTTTGAAAGGCTGGTTCTCTGAATAGCTCATCTTTTTCTTCTTATTCTGTCTTTGTGACACAGAGCCCACCTTCTGTTCCTCCAAATCTCATGGTGTGAAATTTTCTGTTATGACAGAAACCTCCACATGGATTCCAGAAAAAAATGAAGCTTGAGGTCATAGACAAAAGAAATCCCATGTTTGTTAGAGTAACGACAGTTGCAGACACGGATGACCACCGAATAAAAGTGAGTGTTCTCTGTTCTGGTCTTGTTTTGTCTTTTCTTACGAGACATCTTGCATGGAAACTTTAGCAGATGTTAATTTGTGAAGTGTTAGAATTAAATTAGTAAACCATAAGAATGTGCAAATTAGGTGGCTGTGCATCTTTGTAAGTCACCTTATCTCCGGTTTCTTCCTTTTCTCTGACCTGCACGAGAAATTTTCTCTTTAATTATGATTGACTTTTAATATGTTGTGTCTGCTTTCTTTGCCCAAACTCAAAATGTTAAAAGTCAGTCATAATTAAAGAGAAAACTTCTTACGTAGATAATAAAGAAATTTCTTCTGAATATGATACCTCATTCTCCAGTGGTATGCTCTTGTTTAAAAAATTGAACTTTAATGTTTTTTTATAGGGTTTTGTTAGATGTAGACTTTTCAGAAGAATATTCTGCCTTTTAATCTAGGACAAGTAAAGAGAAATAATTTTGTAAATAAAATCAGATTTTAATTAGAGTTGGATTAATAAAAGTCAAGTCCCTCTCATAAGATAAGCAAACGCCCGGGAGGCTGGGTTCAGTTTGTTACGTCCAAGCATGAGGAAGTGAAATCTAGTAGAAGTTCCAGGTGAGGCGCCAGAAGTTCTTGTTTCTGTTTCTGGCTTCAGCATTAACCTCACTCTCAAACCAGAACAGTATGCATTCTGCTTACTTCATAGGATTGTCTAGAATTTCTATTAGGTATAATAATAGTTATAATAACAGCAGGACATCAGATTTACATGGTGTTCTACAGGGTAACAGAGTTCTCCCATTATTTGACATTTGTGGTGATAACGTGGGAGATTGATGTTATCATCACTGTTTTATCAATGAGGCTGAGGCTCAGAAAGACTAAGTGAATTACTTGTTAATTATGGGCAGTCACAGAACTAAGTCACAGTCCTGAACTGTTGGAATCTAAGTTTATGCTCTTTTTTTTAAAAATAATAAATCACATCCTTACCTATCTCGAGATAATATATGAGAAAATAAATTATCAAATAACGTGTAAAACCTGTACAAATGTGGTATTTCTATAAAATAGAAGTTTTAATATCTAGTTTACTATTTTTAAGATTATATAATCATATAACATTTTGGAAAATTTTATAGAAAATGGAAGGCCTGTGTTAAACCCTTATTAAGTGTATTTTCTTATTCATTGTCCTTAATAATAATATAAGTCATAAAGCAATCAGTATTTTAGGACTAGAAGTATTTGTTTCAGAAATCTAGACTAGTAATCAAAGAAATGTAGAATTAAGCAATATATTATTTTTATAAGTCCAGTTGGTCAGAATTGAAAAAATATATGTGTTTTGGTTTGGGAGCGTGAACAGCTTACCGTCCTCTACAGCTGGTACGAGTGTAAGTATCTCAGTGTTTCTGGAGGGCAGCTTGACAATAGGCATCAAAGTCTTAGAATGTTGTTTACCCTTGAATTCAGGAATTTCAGTCCTAGGAATTTATGTTAAGGGAATAACCGAAGGGAATGTGTAAAGACAAAACCCGCAAGCAGAGGACAGCCTGCTGTTTCTAGTATTCAACCTTGGGAACAACCACAGTGGGAGGCAGGTGGAATACATTACTGTATACCCATGTGATGTTAAATATTTTAGGAGAATATTATTGGCAAGTGAAAAATTCAGGTTTAATATTCTGTATGATGTCTAGTATTGTTTTTTAAAAGAGTATATGCATAAACACTTATGGAAAGAAGCATACCAAAACGATGACAGTGTTTCTCTGCTGGGATTATAACATGATTGAGTTTTTCTTTTTAATTATCTGTTTTCAGGAACACATAGTACTTTTGTAATAAAAAAAAAAATTAGATTAACTCTCCGATTTTACATGTCAGAAAATTTTGGCCCAGAGGGGTCAAATACTCTGAAGGTGGATGGTTAGTTAGTTAATGGGAAAAGTTTAGACTAGAATCCAGCTCTTTTGGCTTCTGGCTGAATGCTCTTTCTAGTACAACATCCTGGTCAGTCTTTAACACCGAAAAAAGAGCTGGCTAGGAGGTGAATAGTTGAGCATCATCCTTTTATAATGACTGGAATGAATTTCATAGCTCAAGGTGAACCACTGAGCACAGATCTGTGTGTTTCTGAAGTCCTCAAAAGGTTGGTAAGTGGGCAATGACTCTGTTTCAGGATTCATCAGAGACTTCTAAGACTATAGGAAGCTTTCAACAGTAGGAGTTTTCTAATAATGTGGGAGATGATGTAGCAAGAATGCTTATTTTTCTTTTTTAGGAAGGAATAGAGAGAGAAAGTACTGACTATCATTAGAGTATCTTAATATTTTAAGTTTCTCAGGCATTAAATCAACTTTTAAGTTAAATAAAAACTTTTTAAATTACATAATATATAATGTGTCACACCTTGAGTTATTACACTTAAAAATTTTAAAACTTTCATGTATTTCATTACATGCTGTTGACGAAAAACGACTAGAAAGTTTTTCCTCTCGTCTTCAGTTTTTGGTGACAGCTGGAAGGTAATACAGTCCTGCCCCGTCCCACCCCTTTCCCAGCTCTAGCTTCCAAAGGCAAGAACACTCAACTTTTTAGCTGTTGCTTATGACATTTTCTCTCTGATTTTCTAAAACAATAGCTGTATTCTGCTATTTCTCAATCCATCCCTTTTCGATATGGTTTATTTCGTCCTTCCTGTTACGATAGTTCAGGATCTAGGCCTCCCGCATTCTTTCCTTCCCCATAGCCTTTCAGGAGTTAGTTCACATTGCTTTTCTTTTTTTCTTGCCCTTCCATGTTCATTTTATCATGAGGAAGTGAACCTTGTTCCCTGCTGAACAAACTCATCTTTTTTTAAATGACATTTTGTTTTTCCTGGAGTCAGTAATTTCTTTGCATTTTGCTTTTTAAATTTTGTTCTTACTGTTGGATTTTTACAAATGCTCCAATAAATCTGACGTGTCTTTCCATCAAAAGCTCAAGTGTATTTTTAAGCCTTGTCTGGATCTTTTTTTTTTCCCTGAACTCGTTTTCCCACAGCTTCACCGCCACCTACTCTAATCCGAGTGGTTATCCTCTAAGTCTGGTACAGCCCTTTCATCCCGAGACTTCCCTTTGCTGGCAGCCTATGTCATATTTCATTTTTCCTGAATCGCATACTTAGGTTTTCTTAGTGTACTCTTCCCTTGCTGAAACCCGTCTTTTTGTAACTAAGAAAGAGTGTATGAGAAGCATATTTTTTGACTCCTTATATGTCTGAAAATGTCCCTGTACTCATCTTTCATTTGATTCACACTGTGACTAGGTGAGAACCATTTCCCATTAGGAAATTTTTTTAAATGCTAGTTATCTTTATTGAGGGCACATTGGTTTATAACATTATATAAATTTCAGGTGTACATCATTATATTTTGACTCTGTATAGACTACGTCGTGTTCACCACCAAAAGTCTAATTGCCACCCATCACCGTACATCCTCCCAAGTTAAAAGCGTTCCTCTGCTATCTTCTCACACCGGATGTTGGTTTTTAGACATCTGAGGCCATTCGGATTCCTTCAGTCTGGGGGATGTGCCTCTTCTCTCTGGAAGCTCTCGGGACCGGCTCTCTATCACTGAGGTTCTGATGTGTGTGATGGCGTCTTGGTGAGAGGGTCTTTTTTCATCTCTCTACAGGGTACTCAAGCCCTTTCACTCTGGAGTTTCATGTCCTTCAACTTTTAGAAATGTCCTTATGTTATTGCTGTGATGACTTCCTCCTCTCTGCTCTTTTCTGGAAGTGTTGTTACTCTGGTATTAAACCTCTTGGATTGACCCTCTGATTTTCCTCTATTTTCTTTCTTGTTGTGCTTCTCTGGTTTTTTTTTTATTCTACTTGCTTAGAGATAGCAACTCTATTTTCCAAACCTTATATTGCGTTTTTAATTACAAGTATGATTTTTTAATTTTCAAGAGTTTTTTCTTATTTTCTAGTCTTCTCCCCTTCCCCCTTTTAAATGACATCCTCTTTTTATTTCCCAGAGCAATGATGTTTCTTATCTGAGGATACTGGTGACAGTTCTTGTTCTGTTCTCTGCTTGTTTCCTCTAAATTTCCCGCTCAGTTAATTAGTTTGGCCTCTGCTTTCATATTAGAGGCTGTCCGCAAATGTCAGGTCCTTGGCTGGCTATTCACATTAAGAAAAAGGTGCTCAAAATTACCTGCTTTTGTGCGTGGGTGGGACTTACTGACTGGTGGGCTTCACTGTGAGATAAGAAAGCAAAGAGCTGGCTTTTCACAGGGGGATCCCCATTTGCCAGCATCTGGGTCCTTTCTCTGAGCCTTTCAATTTCTGCAAGTTCCTGCGGGGGGCCGGGCGAACCTGGTGGCCGCTGTGCGGGACCGGGAGAAGGACCACGTTAGAGGATGCACACCCTCAGTTAGTCCCTGTGCTTTCTGTCCAGTCCATCACCACGTTGCTTTTGTCCTGGACGGCAGAGCTTCCGTGATTGTATGATTTAGAACATAAACCTCTAGACTTTTGCAAGGTTGTTGAAGGTGCAGTTACTTTGGTGGGTGGATGAGGGAGTCGGCCGAGGGGCCTTACCACTCCACATTCAGACTTTGAGTCAACGCTACCATTTTTCTGACCTCCTCACCTCCTGCCTCCAGATTGAGCCCTTCTTGGTTCTGCACAGTGAACCATTTCACGCTGGTCCCTCACTCCTTCTCTAGGCATCTGGATTGCAACCCCCCCACTCTCTCCAGTAGGTCCCAACTCCTTCCCCGAATTTTGCCCTCTACACACATCGTTGTCACTTCTCACCTATCACCTGCTTTCCCTCTCCATTTGTCCTTTTGAGTTTATATCTTTTCAAACATAACTTTAATTTCAGAAGAGAGCAGAAATAAGCACCTGGGTCTAAAATGTGTTTTACTGAGTTACCTTTCACATGAACAGAAAATCCATCCAAATCACTTTTTTTAAAGAAATAGTGTGCTTTCTAAAAATACTATGTCTCAATCTTGAAATTATTAATAATGTGTATTAAGTTTTTGTAAAGAGTCCAAATTATACTTCTAGGTGAGGAAAGTATCCAATTTCCTAAACTATAATTTTAAATATGTGCAAGTTACTTCATCCGTACTGCACTTTGATCTGTAATCGTCTGTTTTCTTTAGAGTTTTAATTAAATTCAGCATCATTGCCGAGTTGCTTTTATATGTAATTGTATTTATAGTGGAACATTCCTGTTATAAATATTTTGTATTTCTTTTTTGTGTTTGTAAAATGTTTAAATATTTCATGTTGTGTGTGTTTATATGTCTTCCTCTCTTGCTGCTCTTTGTGAGGCATTTGATTTTGTTTCAAAATAATACCCAGCAAGAGTGAGACTATCAGTTAACATTAATGGAGTTTCTGATTTTTCGTTTGTTTTAAACTTCTTCATGTACCAGAGACTGAATTAGTAAAAGTTACAAAAGATGAAAGAACTATACAAGCTTAATAAAATTGTTTCATCTGGGCTTTCAGAGTGAGACTATTAGGGTTAATATTAATTTTTGCATATATTATTAATTTTGACATAATTTCAGATAATAGTTTCTAAGTATATTTGCTACTTATCAGAGAATTTTATTGTTACTGCTGTTCATAATTATCTAAACTAAATTTTATCTCTGAAATTTAACCCTTAAACTACTAAAATCCTCCAGATTGCCTGCCAACCTAGTTTGTAGGAGGTGTTACCTTTATCTACGCTAAGGTATGTTATTCCTAGAAAGGTGACTTTTCATTGCCAAACCGAAACGAAAGTTTTGATGAAAACTAGGAAAGGGTCTGGTATCACCAGATTTAGTAGCTCCAATGTAAACATTCTTAATAGTATATGTGAGGAAAATTAAAAAGGAACCTTTTATTTATGATAACATCAAGATTTTCAGAGACTATCGCTGTAGGAATGATGTCCTCTTTAGTGTCAATGGGTCTCAACTCTGAGCGCACACAAGAGTTGCTCAGTCCAGTGAACAGCATGTGTGTGCACAGCACCCACGCCCTTATGGGTTCAGAGCCTCCTGGAGTGGGCTCACCCCTCCCCTCCCCGCTCTTTTTCAGTATTCACCAGTAATTCTGGTGTGTATCCAGGGTGGCGAACCATTTACTTGTTAAGACTGAGTTTGTTTGCTATGGGAATACAGCTGAATCTTGTAAAACTTAGTAGTTTATTTACAACAGATGAGAGCATGAGTTATCTGAATATTGATTCCGGTGTAGAAGAAATTGAAGCTAGGAATAGCAAGATTGGAAAACATTAGAGTTTTATATTCCTAGTAAAATAGAGTAATCACTTGATGGTTAGTTGATCATCAGAAATGTTTTAAACTTACTATAACCCTCTAAATTATGGCGGCTCCTTTATTGGTAGCATTGATATTTTCAGAAAATTATCACGAATATCATTCTCAAGATTGATTGAACATTATGTTTGGTCAGAGGAAAGAAGTGTTGTTTTGAGTTAAACAACTTTAAGTGCTGCTTTTATATTCAGTATCTGTGAATGATGCATTTTACTTGGGATCCTTGAATTTTAGGCTTGGTATCCCTCCTAACTAGCTGTGGTGTTATCCTTTTTAACATAGTATCCATGATTTCTTCCTGGTGTGGAATTCTATGAGTTTTGATTTTAGGATTAATTGAATTCTAAGCTTGAGAAAATGGATTTATTGCAAATTATTTTGAACCCGTATACATGTACTTTAACAACTTTGTATTATTCGATAGTATAAATACACCATAATTTATTTAACCAGTCTTCTGATGGTGGACTCTCTGGTTGTTTTCTGCTACAATGAGTCAAGTTACTGAGATTATCAGGTCAAAGGTGATGTATTTAAAGTCTTGATTATTATTGCCAAGTAACTCTCCAGAAATATCTCACCTATTAATACTCCTATCAATGGTCTATGAGACCATTCATTTATTCTCAGACTCACCAGCTCTAGGAATCACCTGAATGGAGCATTTTTGGCAGGTTGAAAGTCGAGGAATTGCATCTTGTGGTTTTAATTTGTGTTTTTTTGTTATAAGTGAAATTGTCTTTTCATATGTTTACTAACCATTTATATTTGTTTTCTTGTTTATGAGCTATTTGTATCTGTTTTCCATATTTCTATTGGATTTTTCATCTTTTTATATTGCTATATTATGCTTTTATGAGTTAAGGAACAGAGTGCATTGTGATGTGTAACAAATGTGTTTTTCGGGTTTCTTGTGAGTGTTCCATCTTGCTTGCAGTCATATATGCCATTCTGAAGATTTGAATTTTGGTGTAGTCAAATTGAGCAGTCTTTTCTTTATGGCTTTTGAGTTTGATGTCTTACTTACAAAGACTGTCCAACTCTCAAGTTATAAATACATTCACTCAAGCATTCTTTTAGAGCTTTTATTGTTCAGTTTTTGTTTTTTGTGTTTTTTTGCAAGGAAGATTGGCCCTGAGCTAACACCTGTTGCCAGTCTTCCTCTTTTTCCTTGAGGAGGATTGTTCTGAGCTAACATCTGTGCCAGTCTTCCTCCGTTTGGTGTGTGGGACGCTGCCACAGCATAGCTTGATGAACAGCACGTAGGTCTGCCCCCAGGATCCAAACCTGTGAACCCTGGGCTGCTGAAGCAGAGCACGTGAACTTAACCACTACGCCACTGGGCCAGCCCCTGTTGTTCAGTTTTTAACGTTTGAATATTTTATCCATCTGGCATCTGTTGACTTCTTAGGAGTGAGAGATGCATAGACTTTAAAAAGGAAGTCTAGCCGGCAAACTTGATTTAAAATAATATACATAGCATTTTAGTATATCCTTTCATTCTAAAAGATAAAAAATATGTAATATTTAAAAGATACGTGGCTGATCCTCAGTGAACGTGCCTAAAAGATCAACTGCCTTTTACACGGTGGCCAGTAAGGATGGTAGCACTTATCACTCTGTGAAACCTCTTTGAGGGATATCATTTATCAGAAAAAAATATTTTAAAATGCATTTGATGGAGGAGTACTTTGTAAACTGAGTATATTTCTAGTAGGGCATTTAATTTTTTTAAAAGTCTTTATTTAGCATGCTTCTAGGAGACTTGACATTTATGTGAAAGGTCCTCCTGTCACTCCATTCTCCCTTCCCATCCTCCCTGCCTTCCCTGAGTTATTCATTACTTCAGTAATATTTATTGGGTGTTTGGTGTTGCTCATATGAGAATGTTAGGTACTCAAATTGCTTGTAGTATTGGGAGATATATGTAACATATCTGTAGAGGTATTGCCCAAAAATTACCTTTGGCAAGACATTTACTGATGGTTAGATAATATGTTGTAGGTAGTTCAAAAGTGCCTTTTCTCCTACTGTGAATGAAGTGACTTCAATAGTTGAAACAGCTTATTTGGTATTAAATCTACCATATAAGATAGAAGAGAATGCAAATGGTTACTTTGGGCAGAACTTTTGCTATAAGAATGTCTGTGGCGTGAATTATCCTGTGAATTTCCTTTTGTTATCCAGGTTCACTTTGATGGCTGGAATAGTTGCTATGATTACTGGATAGATGCAGATTCTCCTGATATTCACCCCGTGGGCTGGTGTTCAAAGACCGGGCATCCTCTTCAGCCTCCTTTGAGTAAGAGACACAAGGATAACTTGGATACACGTTTCCATCTTGTGTAGCATGCTTAATATTTTCTTTTCACTACTCTTCTTGTTCTACTTCTCTTTCTACTGTATATTTCTCCTCTATGTAATCCTGATTCCTTTTACTACATTTTTAATTAACTGGAGGTCAAAAATATATAAAAAGGAAAAAATTTGTCTGAAAAAGAACACATAAACATTCTTTTATTTAGAAGTGATCATCACCTTTTAAAATTAGTACTGAATTTTTGGAAGACAATTTGTCAGACTATCAAAATGTAATGTATCAATGTCAATATCGTAATAGTGATTTTCTACTTTAGTTTTGCAAAATATTTTTTGGTGATTTTATACTATAGTTTTGCAAAATATTTTATTTTATACTGTAGTTTTGCAAAATATTACTGCAAAATATATTTGGGGGAGAAGCTGGCAAAGCATACAAGGGCTCTCCCTCTGTATTATTATTTACAACTGCATGTGAATCTACAGTTAACTGAATAAAAATCTCAGTTAAAAAGGTACACTGAGAACTTGAGATACCCAATTGCAATTTTGGAGGAATAAATACATTGTAGAAAAAAATGTAGGAAATACAATAAATTATTGTCAGGTTTCTAAAAAAATGTAGTATGCCTTCCCCATCTCGTGGCTTCACTTCTGGATGCCACATGCAGACTGAATAAGGGCACAGAAATGCACCAAGTTAATATTTGTTACAGTATATTTAAACTAATAAACCTTGGAAACAAATACTGGTTAAATAATTACGTTGTACTCGTACCACAGATACTGTGCAACAGTCATAAAGAATATTACTTCTGAGATGGAAAGATTTAGTAGACATGAAGTTAAAGACCAAAGAAGACTATTTCAAAATAGTACACATCTGTGTTGTCCCTTTTATATGGCAAAAAAACAAGCCAAAAAATTGGTACATACATATATATAAATTGTAGATTTATATGAGAATGCTTAGAACAACGTCTCGGAGGGTATGAAAGGTAGGGCATGTACCCTAAAGGGGATGTGTTACTGTTCTGTGTTCTGGTGTGTTCTTCGAAGTTTTCACAGTGTGAGAGTGTTCATACAGTAATTATGTTATTTACTTGATGAAAATTGTTTAGAATCTTCTCATTAATTCATATTTAGGTCTCTCTGGAATTTGTGACATTTTGAAAGAGGGTTCGATCCAAGTTTACCATTTCACTATGAAGATAAATAGTGTGAACAAAATCGTAGGGGGAAATCTTCACAAGTAAAGACTTTTAAGATATTTTTAATTTTTATCGGCTCTATTTTTCTATTTGTATGTGTTGATTTGAAAGTTGGCTTTTGTTTACCTATTCTGATCCAGACATTTGACTCTTATAGCCTTAACTTTTTGCCCTTTCTTTCTTTCTTTTGCTTTCTAATAGGCCAATTAGAATTAATGGAAGCTTCGGAACACGGTGGATGCTCGACCCCAGGATGTAAAGGGATTGGCCATTTTAAGCGAGCGAGACACCTGGGCCCTCACAGGTATGTGGTGCTGCCCCTCACCTGGGAATTCCTTATGTGGCCTGTCACACGTATGTAGAAGAAGATGATTTCCAGGTGTACTAAGAAGATGTGAACTAATTTTAAATTCAGATCCATGTGAAGTGTAGTTACCATGGCGATCATATAAAAGTGAAGAATATATCTGTAGTTAAATCTTCCTGGGAGAAAACGCATTCACAGTTTAAAATAGATTTACTCTAGCTATTCTGCTTTTCTTGGCAGCCTGACTAGATTTATAGATAGCTGTCTTCTGCAGTAATCATGTTGGTGGACCATTAGTAATGGTAAGAGGACAGGCCCTGTTCGACGTATTTGTTTGGTAAATTATTCTATGATTGGGTAACTCAATTTGAATAATGAGAGGTGAGTTCTTGTACATTAGCAGAAAAGATCACAAAAAGCACAAATATAAATAGTCAAACATGAGAATACATTGGTCAAAGAAAGTATTTTTCAGTATTTTTCTCTTACACCTAAGTAACCTAAAAAAGAAAGCAAATTTATACATTTGCAATTTGGTGTATTGATTTTGAGGTCTTTGTGGACATTTAAAAATATTATTGAAATAGTAAGAAATTCTTGTGATTTAACTGGGGTTTTTAAAGAACAAAAGCATCACTTATTTAGGTATATATATTAAGATGGTAATTTGTCAGTATATGTTCTCACTGCCTGCTAATTGGATTGCCAGTAAGAAAAATGATTCTCTCTCTATCTAGTTTGCATAGGTTGTGAATTGAGGTCTTTAAAAACTCTGAAGATTGCGCTACCTCTTCCTCTAAGAGTTCATAGGAATTGTAAAATTGGTGTAATTATTTTCATCTTTGTATAGTTTCCTCTTTCTTTCATCTCTGCAGCCTCAAATGCTGCTTACCTTCCTTTTGCAACATTCCTCCCAAATTTTTATGGGGTTTGGTATATTCCAGAGTAAAAGGTCTGAGCATAGACAGGATGATTATTCTGTTTGCAAATCCTCATTTAAAAATCCTTTTCATTGTTTGACTGCAAACCAAGTTATGTGATTAATTTAAACTGAGTTGAGAATGCTGCATCTTAGAAGTAATTCAGTATTGCTGAGTGAAGTCAGCTGGATGATTTTTCAGACATTTAATAAGTCTGAATGCCAGAAATAACTCATTAGCATGCTAAATTTTCATTCCATATTCATAAATTCTTTCATTCAGTAAATGTTTTTGAGCAGCAGGTTTTTTTTCAATGGTAACTAACATTTGTTGAACATTTATTTACTGTATGCGAGGTCTCGCTCTAATTGTTTTGTATGTATTGGATAACCTTCAAAACGACCCTGTAATAGAGAACTATTATTTTCTCCCAGTTTTTGATGAGGCCGCTGTGGCCCTGAGGTTTACTAAGTTGCCTGCCAGCAGGTGAGGGGGGAGCAAGAATGGCATCCAGTCCAGCTCAAGGGTCTGTGCTCTTGACCACTCTCTCTCAAGGTACCACTCGTTAATTGGTCACAGACCCAACCTTTGAAGAACTCTGGTACTAATGGAACTATAAAAGCTGTATGTAACTTAATTAAAATATAAAATACAGGGGCTGGCCCCATGGTGTAGCAGTTAAGTTCACGTGCTCCACTTTGGCAGCCAGGGTTCACCAGTTTGGATCCTGGGTGTGGACCTACGTACCGCTTATCAAGCCATGCTGTGGCAGGCGACCCACATATAAAGTAGAGGAAGATGGGCACACATGTTAGCTCAGGGCCAGTCTTCCTCAGCAAAAAGAGGAGGGTTGGTGGCAGATGTTAGCTCAGGGCTTATATTCCTCAAAAAACAGAACAAAACAAACAAACTATATATATATATATATATATATATATATATATATATATATATATATATATATGTAAAATACAAATAGTAACTGCTATTGAAACTTTGACACAGGTGCCTTTCTATTGTACAACCCCAAGGTGTTCATTGAAATAAAGGCAATGTGCTCAAATTGTGAGGGAAAAGAACAAAGAAATTTTAAAAGTGGATGAATACTGACATTATGTTGTTGGGTACAATTGAAAATTTAAAAAATTTTTTGTTGTTCTTCTGGGAAGAAGACCCACCTTATAGCAATGTCCATAGTTCTTTCCAGAAGGGTTTTAGGTCTGAACAGAGTGGTTAGCCTGTGACAGCAAGGTCTGTGGTGACAGTCCTGTCCCCTGCCTGATGGCACCAGCTGCTCAGCAGGACCTTCTTTCCCCAAGTGCACGGTGGACCCCAAAGGGTCCCTCACCTGGGCCACAACCATTTCACAAAATTTCAGTGATTATCTTTGGAGCATTTCTTCAGAGATACAGTGTTGTATTTGCTAAAAGAGGGGAGAAATCCTGGGGAGAATCATAAAAGATTTTATGGAGAAATGCAGTAAAGAATCTTTCATTGTCATTGGAACCATATTAGAGAATTACTCATTTTTCTGGAATGAGAGAGGAAGAAGTAGACCTTATGGCTTAAAAGACATGCACTGATAAGGAAGTTGTGTTCATTTCCTTGTCGCATACAGGCCATAACTGGCAGATCTGTGCATAAGTCTGGGGCACAGTTTGTTGACTAGAGCCTCAGGAAGGAGGAAGGCAATTTGGAGACCTAGTGAGCAGTGTCAGCTATAGCCCGAGTCCTGTCGTCCCTTCTTCTCAGCCCTTCTACTGGCTTTTCTTAATCTCCCTGACTATGCTGTTCTATTTGCAACACTCAAAGCTCTCTATCTGGCAGGATATTAATCCTTAGTAGGCACAGCCTGTTTTTCATTTCATTAGTAGACTTGTGGAGTAGCTGCTGCTACATGGATATTCTTTGAAAGGTTCATTTCACTGGCACTTATTTTTGTCCTTGCTGAGAATGCTGTGTTTAGGAAAACATAATGAGAAAACTCTCTTTGGATTAATTTACTGAGAAACTGCCTAAATCAAAACGTGCATTCTTTGCTTAGATAACAAGAAAAGTTGCTCTTTTAGCAAGAATAATCAATTTTATGAACACATAAGCAGAAGCCCATGTTTTGACTAGCAGTTGTTGTTGGCTTCTCTGAAAATTGCAATAGTTGAATTTGCTCTAATAAGTGTTAGAAATAAAGCATGCCTCTCAACAATGAAATTTGAGACTGTGATGTTTTAAAACACTGAATTATAAGTGATCAGTGAGTGAGTCGGATGTGGAGATGGTAATTCTCATCTCCAGGGATATTCGGTAGCCAGGTTGCTTAATTCTTTCCCTCTGGCAAAGGAGCCTTAAAATGGGTGCTGTCACGGTGTTTCCCTTTTTGGATTCATTCATTTGGCCTACTGAGAGGTCAAAGAATGGGAGGAGATTAAAGGAGAACTAAAGTTAGGTAAAAGTAGATATTCTTCATATCTGGTGTCTTCAGAAGTAAATCTTTTCTATGTAAGATTTAATGTTGGAGAAATTAAACCAGAAAAGAAAAAATAATTCAGAGTATTTCCAAAAGTCTCTAAAGGATATTTACAAAGTCTGTGGAAAGTTTTAAAAGTTAGTAACCGAATTCACCCCTGCAAACTATAAACATCATATTAATTCAACATCCATCCATCCATCCGTTGAACAGACACTAATTGAGCAGCTGCTTTGTGCCGGATCCGGGGTTGGGTGATGGGCGTTACAGAGCAGAGGCCATACTTCTAAGAAGGCCAGTCTGGTGTGAAGAGATTTTCATAGCATGAATAGAGTAGCACTCAGAGAGAGGTCTCAGCTTTTCCTGAGAGCAGCAGAGAACCTTCATAAATGGGGTGGATTATGGAGTTTTTAATGCTGCTTATTTTTGCTGATGATCTTTTACACAGTAGGGGTTGGGGTTACTCTTCTTCATGTATTCGTGTATTGGTGACTTCCCGTGTTCCAGGCACTGTTTTGGGACCGACGTGTGTTATCACGCTGAATCCTCCAGCAGCTCCATGCACCAGGCACTGTTCTAATCTACGGTTTACAGATGAGGGAACAGAGGCTTGGCGTGGTTCAGGAAGTGTCCAGCATCAGATAGGGGCAGAACCAGGATTCAGTCCAGTCTCTGCTCATAACTGCTGGGCTCTCATGCAGAGCACATCGGCCTAGAGAGCCTGCCCCGTGTGTTTTATAAGTTTTTGTCACGACAGAGTGTGAGAATGGTTATGTGATCACTTAGAAAACTGAAGATGTTACCTAGTTGTTTAAATAAATGTATGTACAATTAAAAGAGTTTTCAAGATGGCAGTAGGGAGCAGTGAACAAGACTGTCCTTCCACCTTTCCTCATCAGCTGGACCAGTCTTTCCTGGGAAAACCCTCTGTAGACGGCCCGGTGGGCAGGTATTTGTGTGTATAGGGCCGATATGGAATAACTTGCTAATAGAACAGGGTGCACCGTAATAAGTCCTTACGGTGGAGAGCCGTGTAATCCTGTGTGAGTCCCTTCCTCTGCTCTCTGAGGAATTGTGTGATGGTAGAGAGTTGTGTGTATATGTGTACACGTGTGTGCCCATGACCAAATGCACACGTGTTGTGTGGTATGACACACATGACTTCTGTTTTCTCACTAGAAACTCTGTACATGAGAAACTAGAGATGATTATAAGCCTAACAGGAACCCAGTCTCTCCAGAGAACTTTGATCAGCTCTGGTGGGTTTATGAAGTTATTGACTTAAAACTGCATACAAACTTTATAAACTGAAAAATGAGGGACTTGGTAAAGAGAGGTTAGGTCTTGGCTCAGTAGATATTAGCTGTGTGACAGCAGCATCTTGCTAGAAGATGGCTCTCTCAGATTTAATTGTCATGGATTAAGGATAAGGAAATTCTTTGCTATTGGAACGTACTATTTACCGATACAGTGTAACATTGAGGAGACAGCCCAAGTTCATGATCTAATTTCACCAAGAACTGACTGAGTGACACTAAGCTAGTTCCCTTTTTTAAGCTTCAGTTTCCACATCTGTAAAACAAGTGTTAGAATAGGAGCGACTTCCCAGGTTTGAGAGAATTAAATGAGGCAATGAAGGTAAAGCTAAACTTAGCGTGAGTGATGCGCCCGATCATGGTGATTATTGTCATCACCCTCATTTTACAGATGAGGAAGCTCAGACTCCAAGGTGGTGCTTGCTCGTTACTAAGTAGTGGAGAAGGCAGCAGAGCACATTGAGAACCAGCTTCCTGACTCCTGTCGGGGCCTTGCCCCGTCCCTCTGTATGCGAGCCGTTACTCATCGCTCAGGCACGCTCCATTTCCATTTTGTGGCATCCCCTTTTTTTATCACCTCCTGCCCCCAGAACCAGCTGGCTTTCCTCTCTGCCCCATAGTAGGTGTGAGAACGGGTGGTGTGTAAGCCCATTTGACTGTCCTCGAGGTTCAGAAGAAGAGAGGGTATTAGCTGATCGTCATGGGGCTTCCTTGGTAGAACATCTTGGCCCATTGTAAATCCTGCTTGAAGGGTGTGATGGTTTCCCCTACTTCAGGTTGAGAGATTGAAATTCCTCTCTGGCCCTGCAAATCCACAAACAGCGCGTCTCCTTCTGGTCAGCTGTCTTGCCTCTCTGTGAGCTGGCCCGGTTGGTATATGGTGGTCTTAGAGAGATATCGTCTTCCTTCACTTACTCAACAAGTGGATCAAGGTGCTGCCCTCGTAGCTCTTATATTAAAGACTTCTAAGCTGGAGCTGTTTACTGTCCGCTGTAGTTAGGGACCTGGCCCATCCAGGGATCCCGGAAGTCTTCCCCATGTGGGCGTGGTGGGTGGGTTGGGGACAGGACTCTTCATTTTCGTTACTTTCTTCATATCTGACAAACCTCCAAGGTAAATGGACAGTCAGTTCTTCAGTAATCGTGTGTAAGCCAGGTGTTCAACTATAAGTGACACGTACGATGGTTGCAGTATTCTAGGAACAGCAGCCTACTGTTTGTAGAAACCAAGAAATTATATTTAGATTTTTTTTCCTGCTGTCACAAAATGCAAGTAGATAAATTTGCAATTGAAATACGTAATAGGAGGAAGAAAGAATAGAATAGAGCCAAAGATGACTAAGATCTGAGGCTTCGTTCGTGTATTTGCTTTGTCAGAAACAAAGAATTAAGAATAGCGGGAGGAGCTAGTTGTGTTTTTATCTTTTTCTGTGTGTGGGGGGGGGAGTTCATTGAAGATGATGAATTTGGTTTTAAACATGTTTATTATGAGGCAGCCCTAGGACATTTGTGTTTTGCCTGAAATCGAGGTAAGTGTTAGGCAGGGCTCTGCCTCCCTTCAGGGAGCTGCGGGGAGTAAGGCCTCTCCGCTCCCTCAGGACAGTGTCGGTTATGATGTGGACAGGCAGATGCTGCCGACTGGGCCTTCCCCCGGAGGAGTGATGCGAGGCAGGTCAGCCTTCGCGTTTCAGCCTCCGTGAGACTGGTGGCTGGGTGGGGCGCAGAGGCTGAGGGTCTGAGAAGAGGGGCGGGTGTGGCAGCCCCAGCAGCACCCCCATCCTATGCAGACCGTTTCTGGGGGAGAGTGCTGGGGCTCCCTTGCTTGCTGCCCAAGCCTGACTGTCCAGCCTTCCTCCAGAGCTGTCTGATGCCCTTGCAGTAAGTTTATTTCGGCTAAGTTAGGCTGAATCGGTTCTTGTTACTTGCATCCGCAAATATGATTGGTACAAATACCCCATGAAGGATTCCATGAAGCACCAGGAGGGTTATTGTTCAAAAGAGACATGGTGGTTGGAGAGGATTTTCCTTCATATCATTACTGAACGAGTAAAATGCAATGAAATGGTATGCCCATTTGGAATAAGGTGAATAAAATGGTATACTCCTTCACTGAGCTACCTCATTGCCGTGTGACCGTGGGCAAGCAGCGTCTCTACCTGGATGTCCCATAAACATTCCACAATTCCTGACATTGTCCCTGAATCTACTTCCTTCCAGTCATTCTCATTTCAGGGGGGAAAAGAAAAAGAATGCATCCCTGTTACCACCCAGTTCTTCAAGCCAAAAACCTGAAGGCCATTCTTAAATCCTTCCTTTATGCTGTTTCCCGTCTCCTGTCCATCCACAGCTCCCCTTGGAGGCACTGCAGAAGATACCATAACTGTCCTCTTTATCTCTGTTTCAGCCCCATAAGTCCAAGTCACCGTCATATCTTCACTCTTACATAACTTCTTTTGCTCCAATTCCATCCCCTCAAAATCTTCTCTCCACAAAGCATCCTGAGTGATTGTTTTAAATTGTAATCAAACCATATCATGCCCTTATTTGGAGGTCCTCTGGTGGCTTCAGATGGAACCTAAGCTAAACATAGGAACTGGCCACTGTGGCCCACCAGGCCCTACACAGTGCCTCCCGGCCTGTTTCTGGTTGGTCTCCTTTGGCTCACTGCGCTCTAGCATTGCTGGTCATTGCCTCAAACATGCCATGCTGTCCCTGTATTTGCTCTATGCTCCCATTCCCTAGAATGCTATTCCCCTGTGTTGACAGTGGGCTTCTTCTGGACCTTGACAGCACTGCTCAACGCTGCTGCCTCAGGGAGGCCCTTCCTTGCCACCTGTCGTAGACCCACGTTCTCTCTCATGTCTACTCCATGGCGGTTGTCGCTGTGTGAAGTTGTCTTATTTGTCTACTTGGGTGATTGCATCTCTCCCTAGAATATCGGCTCTGTGAGAGCAGAGATCTTGTCTTTTCATCTTCTACTGTTTCCAATGCCTAGAAAGAGAATTAGCACATAATAGATACTTGACAAATACTTGTTGAACAAATGAATGGAATAATGAAAGACTGAAGTTAGCTCATCATTTTAAGCCTTCGTTTGTCATGCGAGAAGCCTTTCTCGCAGGTTGTTGTGACGATTGAGTCGGATACTCGGATACTGCAGATACTGCGTGCAAAGCTCTTAGCACAGTGCTGGCTACATAGTAACTGCCCCATAAACATTACTACTGCTTATTGTTTGTGTTATTGTTGTTGGGTTAACATTGTATACATTTATGTCAACACATGATCAATTGTTATTTACTTTCTTTTTTTTTGCATACATAGCTCTATAGAATAGCATGTGGTTAAAGAAAATAAAGATTGTATTTTTGCTTACAAGATATCTGTGATAAATTGTATAGGCTATTATCAGAATCACTTGAGCCCATTTTCAGACTCTTCCCTCCTTCTCCTGCGAGGATTTGTGAGATCCTCCTGGTGGAGGGAGACATGCAGTGTTTAAAACTTTTCCTGGGTGGTTATCGACATTCCCACTATCACCTAAACTGAGGAAAAGAACATGTAAGACACTAATATAATCTACCTCAGGTCCAAAGGATTTCCAGATTTAAGGAGGCTTCCTAAAATCAGAGGGGCAAGATAGGCAGCGAGTTGGAGGGGTTGGTTGTGTTTTGGGAGCCTGAGATAAAGAGGTTGCCCAGATGTTCTGGAGACTGGAAAGCTGAGGCCCGGGCACAGGAGTGTACTCACTTAATGTTGAATTAACAATTAGTGACCTAGATTTCCTTTGCTTGGATAACAGGAATGATCCCCAAATGGGACCTGAGAAACCAACCAGTGATCACCCATGGAAGGGAAGTGAGCCAGCTGGGTCATTATCCAAGTTGGCATCTGGTCTCTTTTCATATACGGACAGGATTAACTACAGGTTGATATGTGTATCTTCTAGGACAGCAGGTGTACATCAGGACCTGGAGATAGGCGCATGGGGGAGCTCCTTCCTTTGGAGGGCAGAAGCTGTTATAAAGGAAACTAAACAGCATGTGATGACACTGGGCCTGGCGGATCACTTTAGGAAGCAGAGTCGCTCCATCCATCCATCAGTTTCTGGCCCACCTCCGCCATCAACCCTCCCATGATGTCTTAAGCATTTCTCTCTTGTGCTGAGTGTCGCCACAGATGTGCACAGGCTTTGCCCTCAAATGATACAGAGGGAATCCTTCAGTGACCATTGGTCACTTCCAAAGATTTCATCAGATTGCTTCTAAAACTCTAATATGAAGACATATTTTCTATCAGAATATACTTAAATTATGTCTTAACATATTTCATACTGCATTTAATCATACACATATATAAATATATATAACATATTCAGTTAAATTTTGAAATTTTGTATTCTGTAGCCTGTCATTATAATTGGAAGGAGTATGTTCTAATGGGAATGTTCTTTTCTTTTTCTTTTAATCCTTCAGTGCTGCCAACTGTCCATATTCAGAAATCAATTTGAATAAAGACCGAATTTTTCCAGACCGCCTAAGTGGTGAGATGCCCCCGGCGAATCCATCGTTTCCGAGAAATAAAAGGACAGACACAAATGAAATCTCTTCATCTCCTGAAATCAGGTAATTAAAGTGATAACCATAGTGTTGTTTAGACTGGTTGAAAGAGGTTTTCTATCTTAGATATTTTGTGTTCTATGCGAATGTTTTCTTCTATGTTATTGAAAATGCATCTGCTTTAATGTGAAATGATGGTGAGGCTCAGTACTTGGACTTTAAAAAAATTAAGCAGAGGTTTTATAAAAGCGTATCCAGATTAGGCAAAATTTCTTCTTGTTCATCTTATAGTTGAACTCACTTGGTTTTAGAAGTCTGGAAATGCCAGTCATTTTACTTCATGCCAGTTCCTATTTCTGACAGAACTGATCGATATTTATATAGAGCCATCCTTTCTAAGGAAGAAGGCAGATGCCTTGTGAAGACTGGATATTATGTCTTTTTAGTGCTCTTGATTGCCAAGTACTTGCATCTACATTGTGTCATGTAATTCTGAAGATATTAGTTGCACTCTAAGCTCACTCATTGAGTTTTGATTTCACGTGTAGAGCTGAGTGGGAATGTTTTAACCTCAGTGGATTATTAAGTAAAGAACTGAGTTTTGTTTGATATATCTTTAAGTAAATGGTCTGTGCCCTTAGATTAACTGAGGATCCTACTAAAAGAAAGGTAGAGGAGTAGGAGGATGGTCCTAGTGCTTAGGTTTTGGGGGTTTCTCTTATGGAGTGTTTTAAAACCTAATGCAACGTAGTTCTTTTTTTTATTTTAACATTTTATAACTTCATTCTTATAGTTGACCCGGGTGGACATTTGAATTAATAAATCTGACACTAAATGCACAGCAGTGTTGTTGGAGTAATGGCATTTCAAGTATCCACATCCTTATAGAGAAGGGATTTTGCCCTGTGGATGGAGGGAGCTGTAACTGCTTTAGTTATTAACAACAGTGATGATTGTTTTTATCCTTAAAACCTGACTGAGGTAACCTAAACTGATTTACCCAACCCAGCACTCTAAAACAAGGGCATATTATTTGAGAAAATTTACTTTAACACAAATCGAAGTACTAATTCACGTAGTCACATTACAGATACAGAGTTCACTGACTCACAGGTGGTTAAGGCTACCTAGAGTTTGGATTTCAGAAGCCAAGGTATTGTTTAAAATATCAGCGTAATACTCCCAAGGGCCAGCAGGTCCTTCTCACAGGCCTCTCTCTAACCATCTGGGCCCCAGCCGTAGGGCCAGTCTCACCACAGAAAGAGGTGGTCCATGTGGACGATTTCTTGGGATCCTTTTTACCTTGAAATCCGTGTAAGAAAAGAATAACTTCTATAGTGGATCTAACCATTCCAGTGATGTGTCTCCTGTGAGGGTGTGGTCCTGTTTCTTCATGTCGTCAAGATTAAGGGGACAATCTCAGACATTTTCAGTTTTCTGTAGTAACCCATCACACATTTCATATCTAAATATTTTTATATTATGTAGATTTTTAGCATATACCATCTTTTGAGTCAGTGAATTCGGACCTGCCGTGACTTCTGTGTGAATTAACACTTAGATTTATTTGTATTAAAGTTAAGTTTCTTCAAGTGACATGCCTTCGTTTTTGGTGCCAGGCTTTGGTAAATGAATGTTCATGATTTCAGAGACTTTATTCCGATTTCTTCTTGTCTTCCTCTTTCCAGATTTGCTATTTTTATTTTGTGTATTTATTTACTTTTCCTTTACTCATCTATGGCTAGAAGTAAGCTGAGAGATTTGGTTAGTTATATGTAGTCCGAGGAAACATGCGCGTATAATCCTAGTGACCCTTACATTTTTAAGGTGAACATTTTTGACCAAGATATTTTTCTCACTTTATTTTTATGCTTAAGTATTTTTAAGAAATGATTACAGACATCATGACATTCCAACTTAAATACCTCGTGATGCATACTAAGAAAACATTTTCCAAAATACCTAAAATCACATGTATTTATTTACTCTTTTAAAATTTAAACTTATCATTTTAAATTTTAAATTTAAAGCTAATGAAATTGGCTTCAGATTCTTTTATTTTTTCTTCTCCGGGCAGTCACTGGTTCCCATAACAATCAAAATGGCACATAGTGTCTTAGATATAGATGATCATGGATTGGCAACATAGCAAACGTTAAATGAAAGAAAGATTGTTGACAAAGACCTGTCTTATGGTTCAAGGATGGTTGACTGAAAGTAGAATGAACGGGGTAGAAGTTAGCTGGCTTCTTTGCTTTGAGTGAATCTGTGTAAACATATTGAAAGCACATTTTTTCATTTTAAAAGTAAATGTAACATTTGTTGATTCCTGGTTTCTTAAGAACGAACTAGTGAGCTATGCAAAGCTATTAGAACAGTGGCTAATAAGGAATAAGCCACCAATAAATGTTAGTTTTTATCATTGTTGCAAGAGGAAATGGTTACTTATTTGTTTCATAGTATTTCTTCTCTTCCTGAGGAGCAAAAGAGAGGCTGGCTTGTTTCTTTGCCTGGGTTAATCTTTGAATGGAGCACTCATCCACATGATTCTCATAATAGCAGATAGTGTTCTCACTTCTTTTCCCATAATCATTGCTTGTGTGGATGGAATCTCCCGCTCAGGTTTTAGTATATTTTCTTTGCATCATTCCTGATAATTTACTAAAATTTGATTGCCAGGCTACTGTTTTTTTAAAAAATGCACTTTGGCACAGCAAGAGATAGTTTGCACCGTGAGATGCAGACCCTGCAACACAGATTTGATTGCCAGCGGTTTACTTGGGAGGTGGGGGAGACATCAACAGGGGAGTGAGGAAGTGAGACAGCCAGGAGAAGCTTCCCCGTCACACTGGGTCCCACTGGGGACACCAGCAGCACTGTCCTGCGGGGAACACCCTGGGAGTCTGTGTAGAACACACGTCTCGGAGTCTTTCCACCGTGGGGTTGTGGGAGCTGAGCTGTTTAAGCACGGGTTCCCTGCGGTCACAGAGCGAGGCTCTGGGGGAGGAAGCACATGTTCATTCCCCAGCACATCTGCCCTGCTGCGCAGCGAACAAGGCAGCCAGAGCCCGGGTTAGTCCTCCAGGGGAAGCATAGCTGGGGAGACAGCCACTGTGCACCGAAAGGGGAGTGGGGGCCAGGGGACATGGGTAGGGTGCTGACAGTGTCTGCTGTGCCATCCCATCCCATTCAACCATTTCAGATGCCAAATGGTCACCAGAGTGAGTGATGTGCTGGCTTTTCTTTTGATCCTGGAGCCGATGTTATAGGGCCAGATAAGTTAACAGTGTGAGGAACATGTGTCCCCTTTTCGTACCATGAAGGTTATTTTAAGGGCCAGTTCACAGACCATCTGCTCAGGATAAACCCGTGGACAGCTAACATTCCATATTGGGAATTCTCAAACCGGGCTTCACATCAGATTCCCTGGGACCTCTTTAGAATTCATATTTGGGGTCCTAGACCAGCCCCCCAGAATATTCTGGAATAGAGCCTAAGAGTTTGCATTTAAAAATTCATTGGGAGTCTATCTCCCTGCTGAAAGCTTTCAATGACGTCCCTTACTCCTGGCTTTAAGAACCTAATTCTGAACATGGCCTACGAAGTCCTGTGGTATCTGGCCCTGCCTCTCTCTCCAGCTTTCTCTCTACCAGGCTCCTTGTTAAACTTAATACTTCACCCACCCTGGTCCTCAAACATCCTTTCCTCTCTTCCTTGAGCCTCCATCCCTGCCGTCTCCCAGCTAGTCTCTCATTTCACAGGCTTCAGGTTAACTGTCACTTCCTCAGGGAGGCTCATCTGATCCTCCAGTCCGTGCGTTAAGTTCCTCATTACATGCTTTCCTATCACACATCCCAATGCTATTGACATTTTGTGTAAATATTTTTTCTGGGTCTGGGTACTTTGCTTGATGATAAGCTCCATAAGGGCGGAGACCACGTCTCCTCTGATTCTCTGAGACACCCTCAGCACCGAGCACACCCCCTGACACACCACAAGGATGCCAGGCAACCTTGAATGACCCCCAGCCTTCAAAGGAGACATATCATGTATTTAACCTAAGAGACGACAGGTGTGTTACCTTCTTTTTGTTCTGATAAAACACCTCCATTCACCACTTTGTAAGATCCCCAGATCAGAGATCCAAAGTGTGATTGTTAAGTGATGAGATAAATCCCCAAATCCGTACCAGCACTCTTTCATAAATTATGGCAGTGCTTCCCAAACTGTCGTCTTTAACTTCCTGCCTCACGTAGAAAATGATACCACAGAAATGCCAACATTTATATTTCATGCTAGGGAAATGGATGGGGTTGCCCCTGGGTGACCAGATGGGAGCACTGGCTCCTGGGAGGGCTACAGGGAACAGTATCTCAGAGCACTGGTACCCAAGGACTCAGGGCCTCCTAGCTGGGAAGCTCTGCCCCACATTAAGATGGCTCCCCCTTGAGTCCTTTCGTACATGCTGAATATTTGGATTTCCTTCTCTACAGTCACTTGTCAAATGGATGGTCAGGTTATGAGTGATCCCAATGCATGTTTAGATAAAAATGGGGGTATGCAGTCCTTTCGCATTATCCATTCATTCATCAGATGCGTAAGGAGTGTCTCTTGTGCCTGGTGCTTTCCGGGGGGAGATGTGGTCCTCTCTTGGGAGAGCACAGCTCGTCTCTGCCCTCACAGCGCTCCTGGCAGCAGGATGGTGAGGCAGGAGGAGCTCCTCCTGGGGCCTGGTAACCTTGTATTTCTGTGTGTCTACAGCTGAGTAAAAGAATGTATCTATTTCTCTTTATATCTTAATAAAACCTATGGGTCTCAAACTTTGTTTTGCATCAGAATCATCAGGATGCTTGTTAAAATGCAGCTTTCTTGATACCCTCGCGAGAGATACTGATTCAGGAAGTGTAAGGTGCATCCCAGTTCATTTTTAACAAGCACCCCCAGGTGATGGATGAAGTGATCTATAAATCAGGCTTTGGGAATCATTGAATATAAAGACCTTTCTCTGGAGTCATAATTCACAACATCGTACCAGTTGGAGAGTACCAGCATCTATCCCACAGTCT